TACATTTGCAGAGTTTTGAAAGCCTTTTTATACCATAATTGATACATAACATCAACATTTCTGCTGTTTATAATTGATCTATTTCATTTTAGAAAATGTCATAGTCAGGGTTGATGGCACACAAATCAACTGTTTATGCCTAGTAAATATATCAAATAGGTCATATATTGAAAGTCATTCATCAGCAACAAATGATGACAAGTATGGAAATTAGAAGTATAATCGATGCATATAGTTCTTGAATAGAATGATATAATTCAGCATACCAGATCCATGCAATAATATTTTGTCGTGGAAGAAAATCCACTAAACAGAATATTATGTTAGTTTTGTACATTGTGTGCTATAAATAAGATCCCATTATGACATATGGTTGTTGTTGATTATAAGACAATATAGTATGGGATAGGTGAAGGGGATATAAATTGCTTAACTGGTGTTCTTGGCAATGACATTCAGTTGCAGAAATCAGGGTCGATGAAGAAGGGAGCACCCCGTCCAGGATATATAGTTAATAATTATGACTGGTTGCAACTGTTACTATAAGTATTGATATTCCAATCTAAAACTGAATCTCTGCTCTTTATGCAGCCACTATTACTTTGCCTTGCTTTAATGAAAGCAATTATTCAATGCACATACTGCTAAAAAGTGCTTTAAGAGAAATGTTTCCAATATGTGTGACTTAGCTTCTGACTCTGCTAAATTTGTATAAAAATGATCTATCAAAGTCTGTAATGAAAGCAGACACCAATTGTCTATAGCTATAATCATTGAAAAAGAAATTATGTAACCTTACGAAATTACATAGCCTTCTATTGGTTTCATTCAACTAATTTATATTAACTAAGTCACCAATGAAAATGTTAAATTGAGAAGTACATAAACATCAACATCAACACTTACAACTCGATATACACCAACAACGGCAACATGTGGAAGAATCATTACTTTCATAATTTCATAATAGTATTCTCAATGGGCTATTCCATTTAATATCCGTCCCCCCCCCCCGTCGAGGATACATGTTTTTTATTGTCATACCCCTGAAGAATTCCAAGCCCAAAACTGTTTACCCCTGAAGAATTCCAAAATTCCAACCTCAAAACTCTTTACACCTGAAGAATTCCAAGCTCAAAACCTTTTACCTCTGAAGAATTCCAAAATTCCAAGCTCAAAACCCTTTACCCCTGAAGAATTCCAAGCTCAAAACCTTTTACCCCTGAAGAATTCCAAGCTCAAAACCCTTCACCCCTAAAGAATTCCAAGCTCAAAACCCTTTACCCCTGAAGAATTTCAAGCTCAAAACCTTTTACCCCAGAAAAATTCCAAGCTCAAAAAAATTTCAATCTCAAACCTCTTCACCCCTGAAGAATTCCAAGCTCAAAACCCTTTACCCCTGAAGAATTCCAAGCTCAAAACCATTTACCCCTGAAGAATTCCAAACTCAAAACACTTTACCACTGAAGAATTCCAAGCTCAAAACCCTTCACCCCTGAAGAATTCCAAGCTCTGAAAAATTTCAATCTCAAACCTCTTTACCCCTGAAGAATTCCAAGCTCAAAACCCTTTACCCCTGAAGAATTCCAAGCTCAAAACCATTTACCCCTGAAGAATTCCAAACTCAAAACACTTTACCCCTGAAGAATTCCAAGCTCAAAACACTTTACCCCTGAAGAATTCCAGGGATCCTCGACAGGGGGGGGGTACGGATATTAAATGGAATAGCCCAATGCCATTAGTCAATAATTTTCTTGTCCAAAATTGCAAATCATTTCGTTTCCACTGCGTATTAAATGATGAAACCTTTCAAATGCTCGCCAAAAATGCACTAGCGACATTTGCCATATTCAGACTAGTAAAATGACGTTGTTTTAAACTGCATTTGATTTCGTAAATTCACAAATTGCCTTTTGTTTCACACTTTAGTAAGCCGCCATTTTGAAATTAGTATCATTACGTCATTTCATCTATAAGCTGTCGTTGATTGGCTATGAGCACGCTTACAAATTTCCGGTACGCGCACGATGGCAATATATCTGCTTCGCAGATACAAAAATTCTGTCTTGCCATCATTCAGTTTGAGCTTATCAACTATCATCCAAGTCCTGATATCCTTGATACAATTCAAATACAAATCAATGGGATTGCTCCGTACTTTTTGATGCAATTCTGTACTCCAACTCGATCGGTAAATCAGGCCTGAATCCAACCATTAAGACTGAAGTGGACAATATTCGAAATATGCGAAATAATATTATGCATGCTGGTGAGACAACCCTATCTGATACTGACTTCCAAACCATGATCAGTGAGGTTGAAAATACATTTATAGCACTCGGTCTTCCAGTTAATGATATCACTCAAATGAAAATTAAGAGAAACCTTTACAAATCATTTCAAGTTTTACCTTCAAAGTTGTTTACCCACGAAGTTGTTTACCGTGGTGAGAAGGTCGACGAAATACAAACTAACATATTTATATATTTCTGGAATTCCCGGAAGTGGAAAATCGCAGCTATCCCGGCAACTGTGCGAGGATTTGTTCAAAGGTGTAAATTTGGAAACAGAGACAACATTTGTAATGACATTGAATGCAAAAGATTTAGATACTCTTCTTGACGGGTACGAAGATTTTTGTCCACGTCTAAATTGTTCTGAAAATGTATTGATAAATGTAATGAATTCATGCAAACCAAAAGATGGAAAGATCAAAGACTTACGATCATTGATTGAAAACAGAATCAAGAATTGGAAAAGGTGGTGGATTATAGTAGACAACGTAGACAATTTCGAGGACATTTCACCCCTAATACCTCAAATGTGTGACGAAGTTTGGAATAATGGTCAAATTATATTAACAATACAGAATACAACTGCAGTTCCTTCTGACAGTGCTTTTACTAAACACATTTCACTCAGTCGTGGTATGAAGAACGAAGAATGTCGTCAGTTACTTCTCTTATTGTCGGGATCTGATTCTAATTATACGCTATTAGATGAATTTGCTGAGAAGTTAGATTATCAACCTTTGGCTATGGCTGCTGCAGCTGTATATTTCAAAAAAGTAATCGACGCAATGTGTGGTCCAAAATTTTCCTGGCATGATTATTTAGAGAAGTTAAAAGGTAAAAGAGAAGTCACAGAAGAACAGCTTCTCAAAATTAGTTCAACCTATCCACCAAGCATGTCGGCGGCGGTGTCCCTAGCTGTTGAAAAGTCTGCGGAAAATAGTTTCATTCTAAAGCACACATGCTATCTTTTTTCTCTGATATCCTTTGAACCATTACCAGTTGATATTATTGTCGAATACATTCAGCAGCTTGATCAAAACTGTGAAAAAGAGGATATATATTTGGCGTTGAAAGATTGTTCCCTTTTTCTTTAACAGAAGATTGTGATGTTCGTCTACATCGTGTTGTCCACGAAGCAATTAAATCATATAGTGATTGCAAAGAAACTCAAACTAAAGACTACTCTTGCAGCACCACTTCTAATATTAACATTCCAAGTAGAGTTCAAAATGTTGTCAGAACCTTTTATTCTTTCTCACCCAGGGATGATAAAATCAAGATGATTCCACACTTGAAGGCATTTAATGAAGCAGTTGAAAAACTATTTCCACAAAAAACTCATTATATTCAATTAGCTTAGGCTTCAAAAAACGTGAAATTTATGAAATATATCTGCTTTTTGGGCAAATTTTAGAATACTACTCTGAGTTGAAACTCGCTGTCGTATTTCATAACGCAAATCTTCAGATATCGAGAGGTTCAGAACAGCAAACTTACGAGCGTTATATATTTCCCAACCTCGGCACTTTATACAGCAAATTGGGCGATTTCGAACAGGCTTTACATTATCATCGACGAGCACTGGAAATTGAAGAGAAGCAACTGGGTCCAAACCATTTTGATGTTGCAGCTTCTTATAACAACATTGGTGTGGTGTGTCGTGATAAAGGTGACCTGGACCAAGCTAAAGATTATTATCAACGAGCACTGGAAATTCAACGAAAACAACTAGATCCAAACCATGCTGATGTTGCAGCTTCTTATAACAACATTGGTTTGGTGTGTCGTGATAAAGGTGAGCTCGACCAATCTAAAGATTATCATCAACGAGCACTGGAAATTAGACAAAAACAACTAGGCCGAAACCATGTTGATGTTGCAGCTTCTTATAACAACATTGGTATGGTGTGTCGTGATAAAGGTGACCTGGATCAGGCTAAAGATTATCATCAACGAGCACTGGAAATTCAACAAAAACAACTAGGTCCTAACCATGTTCATGTCGCAGCTTCCCATGACAACAGTGGTATGGTGTGTCGTGATAAAGGTGACCTGGACCAAGCTAAAGATTATTATCAACGAGCATTGGAAATTCGACAAAAACAACTAGGGCCGAACCATGTTGATGTTGCAGCTTCTTACAATAACATTGGTACGGTGTGTCGTCATAAAGGTTACCCAGACCAAGCTAAAGATTATTATCAACGAGCACTGGAAATTCAACAAAAACAACTAGGTCCAAATCATGTTGATGTGGCAGCTTCTTATAACAACATTGGTATGGTTTGTCGTCATAAAGGTGATCTGGATCAAGCTAAAGATTATTGTCAACGAGCGCTGGAAATTCAACAAAAACAACTAGGTCCAAACCATGTTAATGTTGCAACTTCTTATAACAACATTGGTACTGTGTGTCGTGATAAAGGTGACCTGGACCAAGCAAAATACTACCATCAACGATCACTGGAAATTCGACAAAAACAACTAGGTCTAACCCATGTCGATGTTGCAGCTTCTGATAACAGCATTAGTATAGTGTGTCGTGATAAAGGTGACCTGGGCCAAGCTAAAGATCATTAAACATAAATGATAGTCTTAATTTGCTAATAAAATTTTAGTTTTCTGTGTGAGTGTTTGAATTGTAGTTTGATTCCTGCCTAAAATATATTGGATAAAATAGCACACACATACACACCCCTTCCCCCAAGTCCACGTTGTTGAAATTTGTTTAAAATGTAGGGAAATTAATGAGAGGGACAGAGGAATAACCTAAAAATTCATATGCATCTTTGTGCTAAATCGATCTACATTATTGTTTTGTCCATGATTGTCTGTTGTAAAAGTCAGTTTTCCCAATTACAGACTTTTACAGCCCCGGTTTTGCGAGCAATGCATCTCCTCGGTTGACGGAGAATCAAAGGCACCAAAGCACAAATGGCCTCGAAAGAGAAGGTCAAACTGCGAATACCCAGCCAAGTGGGGGGCAGACACAGTAAAACATTTCTACACGACTTCAGTTGTATTTTCCACAAGAAATTATTGTAATCGCACAAGAAATGATTATCCACAAATACTTTTAGCTGGGAGATGATGATAATGAACCGCCAAGATGGCGGTTTATTTTTGAGCTCCTATACATCGTTCTAGTATTACAGTCATTTGTGTGATTTTTATATTATTTTGTTGAATAATAGTGCTAAAACTAGACGTTACTATCGCAAGGAAAGTGCTGCCTCACCCCCAAGGGGTCAAGGCAGCATGCATAATTTGCCTGAATAAGGGGCTGTTTATATGATCCTGCTTTGCCTTTGCCATTACTCTCATGATGTTTTTATATCATTATGTCAAACCAAAACCACCGCAAAATACATAAAGAATACATAAAGGAAACTAAGTAAGTTATACTTTATAATTTAAAGTAAATTTGTAATGCAGAATATAATGAAATTAAAAATAGATAAATACCCCACAGAGCCTGGCCACCTGTGGTTTTATATGAATACCTCCAATGTCTCCAATGCTTATAACTTCTTGCTTTTGAAGCTAGCCATAGCAACAAGCCATGCTATGCAAGTTTTTAATGACTTCTATCATTCAAATCGATGCAAGATTATCAGCATAGGCATAGTAGGGAGGGCATAGCATGACGAGTTGCTATGGCTAGCTTGCCACTGAATACTGTACAACATTATATATTTATATAGAGAATAATACATGGGTGCACGGAACACAAGAAACAAATCTGGTATTTCCAAGCATTCATGTATTTTTCTGTTTACTATATAAAGGACAGTCTTTGAAAAGCGATATTTTTTTTCAGAAAAGCGATAATTGAAAAGCGATAATTTTCACATATGAGATTATCATAAATTATCTCACATGTGAGATTATCAGTTTTATCAGTGCCCGAAATATCTATAAAGCACTATACTTTGTATAAATTTAATAACAATTTCATGTATAGAAATACTATAATACAAAACTACGCCTATCACAGAACAACTGTCGTTTTTGTTTAATTTAATACATCAGCTTCAGATGGCACCATTCATTTGTAATGATTAAGATTGTACTGAAACAGAACTTCAAAACTATATAATAAGAAAGCTTGTAAAGGGCAAGCTTGAAAAATATGCCTGACCACGGTGGGAATCCAACCTACGACGTTCGGAATACTAGCCCAATGCTCTGCCAACAGAGCTACGCGGTCTGGTCGGTTCGAGTATGTGATATTTCGGAACAGAATCTAGTTCCTTCGATATCAATGTTATCTAATAATAATCATGATTTTTCTGTGTTGGTGTAATGTACTCAGGTGATGTTACTCTGAGTGTATATCCACACCGGGAAAGCTTGAATAAAATATGCCTGACCACGGTGGGAATCGAACCTACGACCTGAGTACATTACACCAACACATAAAAATCATGATTATTATTAGATAACATTGATATCGAAGGAACTAGATTCTGTTCCGCAATATCACATACTTGAACCAACCAGACCGCGTAGCTCAGTTGGCAGAGCATTGGGCTAGTATTCCAAAGGTCGTAGGTTCGATTCCCACCGTGGTCAGGCATATTTTTCAAGCTTGCCCGGTGTGGATATACACTCAGAATAAGATCACAAGCATCATTTTCACCTGAGTACATTACACCAACACAGAAAAATCATGAAGAAAGAAATTGTGAGCATTATCGAAAAAATATAGTACATAGCCAGGTGAATATATGAATGTATTATGTAGCGGGCCGGTAGGATTACTCCTTATTATGCTGAAAATGGACACATCTCAGAGATATATTTTTACAAACCGTGATACTGTACCTTGTACAAAAATCGGGTGACATGCTATTACATGTAACTGCTGGTAAGTTAATAAGTGCAGACAACCATGGGCAGATTTACTGGGTGGTTAGTACCGAGTATAACACCCTGAGGTGTTATAAAGTGTTCAAGCCCACCAAAATTTTACTTCAACCCTCCTACTTTGTGTGAAAGCCTTTAACCCTAACCCCTGGCAAAGCTCAGTGGTGCTGCTTTCACCCCACTAGAAAATGTTTGGCCACCCCTCCTTTTATAAAATGAAAATCCGCCCTTGCAGACAACAATCCACACTGGATTGCTGTAGGGATATATTTATAATATTAAGCCCTGCCACACAACATTCCACGTTTGTTCTTAAAACGTACTGAAATGGCTGAAGCACATTGCTATAAACGTGTAGAGTAAACACCATAAACTCATCGACTTTGGAAATCACCACACAAACAAATAAACTAAAAGTAGATTTTGACTACTTGTATATTAACTATAAAGGCGATCACTAAGTGCAGGGTAAATTCTGAAATGCATGATAAATACATGCTGAATCTAAATTCATGAAATCATGATTTATAGTGTTCTAAACATATTCTATATATAAAATGCCTTCATGTATATTACCGAAAAGAAATAAAGCTACCCTTACTTGAATTATTGAAAATATTGTCCATGTTTGCATCATGAAAATAAGCTCATAACTGTCCTTGAGAGCTTGAGAGCTTGAGAAGAACTTGATCCGCGTGCTATAGTCATAGACAAAGTAAAGTTTGACCGCCCCCCTCCTTTAAAAAAGCATCCTGAAGCCTTAATTATTTCCCCGGAATTACAACATCTTTACAGACAGACGGACAGACAGACAGACACAAAATCGAGATCTCGACAATACATAGGTCGGGCAAAGAGACTGGACACAAGTAAACGTGATACTTCATGTTCATCCTCGTTCCCTGGGAACGAGGATGCTTCATGTTAAGAATAGTGTGCTGCCTTCGGCAGCAATTAAAATTGTGTCCAAAACAGGAAGCTCTGCTGAAGAAAAGAAATGTATAGCACAAACTGATAAGTTAAAGGAGAGACGCAATTTAGAAACAGCTTGAATGACTGCTTGATAAAAATTGGTTCCTTTAAATTAAAGTATGAAACAACAAATTGGAAGAAGTCCTCAGCTTTATCAGTTCCTCGATGCTTAATATGATGATTTAATAAAAAAGTTTAAAAAAATGCGGACCTATATATAGATGCACAAAATCTGAATGGAAATCAATTATAACACCATGCAGGTATGATTGATGAGATATGAAACAATATTCTTGGAGGGACTGTCTTGAGATACATGGTATTCCTGTAATAAATTATCAAAACACTGATGAAGGTTGACAATTTGGCCAGGGTTTCTGTTAAAACAGATGATATATCAGTGAGTCACAGACATCCTGGACGAGTAAAATCGTCTGGCGTTAAGTCGGGTTTCCGTATTGTCTTAACGGTCGTAAAGATGGAGTCACGACTCACGATCTTTATCAACGGCCGGCCGGATTATAATAGTTTTTACCTGTAAGCCACGTATAAATCATAAGTATTCTCTCTTTATAACAACATGAGCTCCACCTTTGAATTTACTATATGAGTAAATTCTTAAACACGTCGACCGAATTTATCATTATGATAAATTCGCGGCACATTTTGAATTTATCAATAGAGTTAATCATAAAACCACAAGCATTGCACAAGGTTTCCAGTTAGAAATGTAATGGCACTAAAAGGGAGGCTGTTCGCGCAGGGTTGGGAAGTTTTTCAAATTTTTTAAAAAAATAGTTTTTAAAAAAGTTTTAAAAAGTTTTAAAAGAGTTTTGAAAAGCAAGAAAAGTTTAAAAAGTTAGATTTTTAAAAAATTTAAAAAAATTTAAAAAGTTAAAAAAATTAGGGTTAGGGGTTAGTGGTTAGTGGTTAGGGGTTAGGGGTTAGGGGTTAGGGGTTAGGGGTTAGGGGTTAGTGGTTAGGGTAGGGGTTGGAGTTAGGGTTAGTGTTAGGTGCCGCTAATTTATTATTATGATAAATTCAAAAATTGCCGCGAATTTATCATAATGATAAATTCGGACGTGTTTAAGAATTTACTCATATAGTAAATTCAAATTTATAATCACTCAGCCTATTTCCAGTTCTAAATTGTTGTATTTCTAAACTGTTGTATTTCTGCAGATTGTTTGGTATGGTTCAACCATTTATTTTGGATACTTGCCGGTTTTGCTAGCCTGATGCTTTGTCACCGTGTATATGTCTCTGTCTTGCTGTTGTTGTCTTCTTTTGTGCTTTTCCTCTAATATTTGTACTTTCTGTTTCTTATTTTTGTACTTTCTCTATGTATATAATCTAATAAATGTGAGGCCTCCCCCCTGATACGTTCTGACTTTTGGAGCAGGCATTTTGATAAAGTTTAGTTTAGTTTAGTTTAATGAATTTGTCATATTTACATAGAACAATTTTACAATTACAACTGACACTAGAACAATAAAAACTAACAAAATAATTAGTACTTGTGACAGGAGTCTGAAACAGAACTTGCGTCCCAATTGACATCAAACCCCTTTATGATTAGTTCAAGTAAAAACACACACACACTTAACCGGAAACTATTCCGGCGGGCAATAAGTTGATAACATTGTCTTGAATAAAGTAAACAGTTCCGACTTAAAGGTGGATAATGTTCCACACGACTTTATCTTAGGAGGGAGATTGTTCCATAATTATCTTGGGGAATAGGAATTGTGAAAATAGTCCTGCTTAGGCTATACTTGTCTATCGGGAAAAATTGTATCGGAATTTCGAGTATTGTAACGAGGAATAAAGCTTTATATATAAAAAACGAGAATGACGAGAAAGATCGTGCATGACTCAATCTTTCACGTCAGGTACGACCCAATCGAAACCAGGAATCAGAGTAAGATAATAAAATATAATGCAATGGGACGCAGTGCAACCAGAGGAGGGTGGAAGCTCTTCCCAGCATGCATTGCAACTCATTAATATTCACAATCATGATTTTTCACAATGTTAGTTGGAAAAGTTGTGGATATTTATTTCGATATTTCGCCACGAAAAGTTCGTATTTTTGAAGGTAAGTTTTTATAATTGTTTTAAATATGAGTCAAATTAACGATTTTTGCTTTATTTGGTGTTTTAACAACGTTTAGTTATATGTTAATCGCAATTTGTATTGACCTGTTTTCCGGGTCAATGCACAAGTGTCAAAAGTGGCTTTCAAAACCGCTGGGGACAATTGGGTTTATAAATGAGTAAATTAAATAAAAGACACGCCATGGTATTCAGGAAGAGTTGTTCTTTCTATGAGAAGTTTAAAAAATGAATTGTCCCCATCAAACTGACGAGTAATCGCGGTTTGAAAATGGGGCATTTTCGGTATACTATGTCGCCTATCGCGGGAATAGTCGACTGCATGGGAATTATGGCGCGAGGAAAATTACTGTACGAGTCGTTATTATTTTTGTTTTATTTCGAAGCATGCGCATATATGTCGATCGTTGTTGAGTTTAACTGCTGCTTTTAAGTTAAATACACTGTATTTTACCATTATTTTTATAGAATTCGAATATATTTTGTGAAATGGAATCTGATAATGATGGCAATGTTGTTTATATTGTTGATCCTAAGTATGGGAAAAGTTGAACTTATGAATTTAATGCTGATTTAGAACTGTTATTGAGCAAACTGTTCCTACATCCTGCTTTGGCAAATGGTATAACATCTAATCCAGCCAAGTTGTGCTCATGATCCATTCAACTGATTCAAGCAATGAAACTATTGAACCAGAATAATAAGAGCAACCTGTTATATAAATTTGCCCATACCAGCCTTTCAATAGATACATATTTTAGTAGACATTTTACATGTAAATATTGGTGAATTGGTGACATGAAAATGTTGCAATGAATCTTAAGTATTTACTTTATATATTGTAACTTTGAATAAAGCATTTTATTAACATCAATTATGTATGACCACTGCATTTATATGACCAATATCAGGGGTGGATCTACTGGGGTGTGTGCACCCCCCACCTAGCCCTGGCCAGAGGGTATGCAGGGGGGGGGTATTTTCATGATAAAGCAAAAAATATTAGAGACAAAATGAGTAATTTGAGTAATAACATGATGATAAGTAAACTGTTTGTTAACAACAATTACAATACAGTAGTCAAGCAAGACTTTGCTGTAGTCAAGTAAGTTGATGGGTGGGTGGCACACCTGACTGACACAACTCGGCACCAGAGCTGGCAGAGCACCCACCCTACCACATCGTACTGGATCCATCTTTAGATCAGTGATCCATCTGTGCTAAATATACAACAGTTAAAACAGTGTTAAGAACACATGCACAAGGTGCACTATAAGATAAAGTAGGGATTTGATGACTGCAGTAAACAAACACAGCAAATTGAGTTTGAAAACATTTATTTATTTGAAAAAGGAATGGTAAAATTATATTTAACAATTATTCGCCGAAGGCGAGGTGATTATCAGGGAATATTTGCTGAGGTGAATATTCCCAGATAATCACAGAGCCTGAGGCGAGTAATTGTTTTAGTATTTTTGCACAAGTTTTTTTGTATTTTTCTGGTCTGAATTCATTTTAATTTCGCTTATTTCTTTATTACTAACTTCAACAAAACAGCTAGCACATAACAGATTAATACGTCAAATTTGGCCAATCACCTTGTAGCATTTGTTATGTTCACTTGTGCAAAAATACTAATATTTACCTGAAATAATAACAGTGTTTTAATAGGAATAAATTTATATGAAAATCTCAACTAAAAATGTCTTGCTCATGTTCTACTTTAAATTTCAACTTGAGATTTTTTGATCATCTATACATGATTATCACAAGTTGCATGGTATCTTTGTTCTCGCCAGGAACCAGCTACAACAAACTTCTCAGGATACAAAGTGTCCTCCACAATCCTTGTCTTAATTCTGAGGATACAATGTGTCTCCTCCACAATCCTTGTCCTTCAGAATCCTTGTCTCCATCATTCTCCTAATCAGAGCTTGAATCATTCATGTATTTAGCATCACCAGTAGCCTGTTACACACCCAACAATTGGGTCAACTGCTGAATTTCATCAATCTTGTCCATGTCTGCAACTCCACCTTCTGCACCAATACTTTCAACATCACCAGGCATCTCTTCACCATGAATTTTAACCAGACACATAGGATTTAATGGCTGTTTAATGCAATTGCATAACAATGGCTCATCTAAATTCACCAGTGGTAGGTCATTCAGTATATCCTCTAAAATATCCAGCTTGGGTGGTCAGATTGTTACAGAAGTTGGTGATGGAATAATGTTAAACTCCCACAACAGAACACAACATAATTACTACAGGTAAAAAAAGATTTGATGCATTTATACAGGGACGTTGGAACAATAAAAAGGCAAGGGCACCTTTATAATTATGTGTTGACTTGCCAATGAAAGCCTGATTGTGCATGTTCCATTGACGATAGCTGTTCTGTGTTCTGGAAATAAAGTCTACTCAAGGAACTATAACTGCACAAACACACTTAATCAGGTCACATTCAAGTTCACACCTCATGACTTTGCCCAAAACTGGAGATAAGATTTAGCAGGCAGAATTTCTATAACACAAAGTGCACTTCTGCCCCCCTTGCCCCTCCTCCCTGCTTTTATATTAAAATAGATTTGACTCACTTGACATAAAGTCATAAAGTCAAATACTTGTAGTCTTGTATGATTTCCGAGTATAAATGGCCCATTTTCCCACCAATTAAATCATAAAATAATCGTACCTTAAGGTCACAACTAGAATAGATTTCTATCAATGAAGGACTATCGCATTCGGCGAACATATAATAAGTCAACTTTTACGCCAAAGCCCAAATGTTGTCGTTATCCATAAAACTAGAAGTTCGACATCCCTTCACGAAGCAGCTCCAGTCGCTCTTTCGACACACAATGTACATAAAGATTGTCACGTCCATCCAAATCAGTAGCTTTGTTGCCACGAACAGTACGAAAATTCGCCATGATTTACAATTTTCAATTTGTACTTTTGAATACCGCTCCTTGTAAATTGAGTAGTAAACACAACGAGAGCCAGTCGAACAATGACGGCGCGTCCCGGGAAATCGATAATATGAATGAGTTACAATGCATGCCGGGAAGGGCTTCCACCTCCTCTGCAGTGCAACTTAATGGTTTGACTATAGACACATGGGCAGATACCCCATGACGAGTAAGATTGGCATTGCCATTATAGAGAGTAAAATAATAAAGTATAGGGTGCATTAGGGCGCCAGATAATGGCTGGGTTAGCCTAATAACACAGGTAGATGGATATTGCCAAGTAGATGGGTAATACGAAACCGTGTATTTTACAGATATCAATTTACTGCAACACACTCTGAGGATTAATTTTATATAAAGACAAGTGCCAATATCTTTTAGAGAAAGAAATGTAAAAAAAAATCAGGGCATGAACTTGTCCAAAAGCTAGAGATGCTAGAGGACGTTCATCCTGTTGTCGGAGTACAGAAAATTAATATATAAATTTTCAAAATAGTATTAAAACAAATAATATGCAATTGATAAAGCATTTTTTAAAATTATATATATCAAATACCCTTTTGCTCATGAGTTGAATATAACGAAAGTTGGCTCACTTTGTACAACAAGACTTAATTTAGAAACCTTTAAATACTCGTGGCTAAAACAGTTATCAATTATAGACCTGGAGCGAGGGGGATTCGGAGAAATATTACCCTCAGCGATGATATTTCCCAAGGGCGCAGCCCGAGGGAAATATCATCACTGAGGGTAATATTTCTCCGAATACCCCGAGCGGAAGGTCTATAATTGATATATTATACCGAAAATTTAAACAGGGTTGGATGTTAAAAGGTAAACAAGTGCATGATTTTGGACTTAACGGAGGTTGCAACTTATAATTAAAAACGTAATAATAACACTTTTACTTTATCAAATCCAAACTTGTCCAAGTAATGGTGTCTTAGACCATTTGCTTTATACTTTGAGCCGTCTTTCTTTTCGGCGTTCGCATAAAATTTTGCCAGACTTTTATCCAGAACTTCTTTGTCTTGTAACTCGGCTACATTTCCGGCAGCTTTTACAAATGCTTTCAATGCCGTTTTAGTACTTTTGGTCGTGTTTTAGAATGTCTTTCGTCTAAAATTCTGGCAATTTCTAGATCTTCTTCCGATGCAGAATCATGGCTGGCCATTTTGAATGAAATAAATAACAATTTCCCGCTTTTTTCTCTACACGTCAGTCTCGTGAGTTGCGTGGCTTCCACGATTTTAAATATCCACCGCTGTACCGGTGAATACGAGGTGGGCGCTGGTCAAAAGGACTGCAGAAATTAATATCCACCGCTCTACCGGTGAATACGATGTGGGCGCTGGTCAAAAGGACGGCAGAAACTAATATCTACGAGTAGATGTCGGAATACGACGATATATTTCATCCTCACGTGGGCAAAATGGAGCATTTTAATTGGACGTTTTGAATTTGAGGTATAATATATATATATATATATATATATATATATATATATATATATATATATATATATATATATATATATATATATATATATATATATATATATTTGTAACCATTTCAAATTTTAGAAATTAATTTTCGAACCTGTAAACAATTTGTGGAAGCTTTTCATTGTGTTTTCTCGTTCGCAAAACGTCGGAAATTCAGTTTGAGCCGCCATTTTGTTTCTCTCTTCTAAGCAGGATACGAGCTAATATCCTGCCCATACCCACCAGACCTTGTGTATATAATAATTAACAATTACTCGCCTCAGGCTCAGTGAGTCTTAATATTTTTCTTAGTATTGTCTTAGTATTTTTTCACAAGTCTGTTGTGTTTTTTGGGACTGAATTTATTTTAATTTCGTTTGTTTTTCTTTATCAGTAACTTCCACAAAACGGCTAGCCCTCATTTTGCTTATCTCGGTTTTGTTATATTCACCTATACTATAGGTGAATATAACACCATAAAATACTCATTAATAATTCATAAACCTTGTGGCAAATCATGTCAGCTATAATATGTCACGTGGAGTGACTTTTAATATATCTGATAGAGCATATCATGTGGCATTATATAATTGTTCATCCATCCTAATTAGTATGATTATATAATGTTCATCCTAATTAGCATTCTTTTGTACTCGTATTTTAAGCTATTCAAAACACTCGTTGTCGTGTCACAGTTTATCAGACATAAAACGCTCGGCTGCGCCTCGCGTTTTATATCTGATAAAACACTCCTACTCGTGTTTTAAATAGTACTTAATACGTCAATTTTGACCAATCAACTTGTAGGATTTGTTATATTCACTTGTCCCTTGAGTTCATACACATACAACGCATGTGTATATAAGTATCAAGTTTCGGTAAACTTTCCGACTCGCAATTTTACATCAAGATTGAGTGGCTAAAACTTTTACAACACTGGAAGCTTGTATGCAGACTGAAATCGCAATGCCATACGTTTCCCAAATGAGCAACATGCAAGCATTTGTGAAAATGTTCGAAAATTGGAAGAAATTTAGATAAGGTGGAAATTAAAAATGCGATTTCAACCGACTACTTTAAATCAGAATCTAAAACAAATCAGGTCTTGTTTAATTTGGTCATAGTTTTATCGCAATGATTCCATAAAGGTGTCATTTGACAGCTAAAAGCCTGATCTTTCTAAATACGAAAACAGGAAACCTATAATTAATATACGATAAGCTGTCAAAGTTGTATTATATTATATATACTATAGAGATTATTTTTCAGGTAAACTTGATTAATGAAGAAAATTGAAGTTTCTTACTTCTTGGGCAAATACAATTTGTTGACATGAAGTCTTTCGTGCAAGCACATGTGCAAACTTTATATCGACATAGTCCTCCATTTAAACACGGCGCATTACAGCATGACGATCCCTTAGGAAAGAAAAAAGTTAGCCATGCTTTTCGGACACATTGAATTGCTTAAATTGTCTACCTACAACTTGCCTACGAACCTACCTACCCATACCTGCTGTCCCTGCCAACCAATCTAACCACCTACCTACACCTGCCTATCAACCACCCACCCATGCTATCACCAACCTATAGCAATCACCTATACCCACCTACCTACCTACCTACCTACCTAGCAGTACCAACCCGCATTACTACTCAACTATACCTACCACCTACCTAGCAATCACCTACCTACCAACCACCTACGTGTACCAACTAATACCTATAACTTACCTACTTACTACCATAAATAATTTTATAAATATCCTACCATGAAATAATATGTTGAGTTACTGTCTTCCAAAAAGAGTCCCAACATATTTATCTTTGATGATGAATACAGAAGACAAAACGTTCCCGTGCAATTTGTGTTTACTCCGACAGCGAAAGATCGACATCCTTTAGTATTTAAACATTTAAAGAAGCATTCCACCTTGCCCATGTTACAATACGTCTCAATCTCACCGCTTTTAAATCGTGTGTCTGAATTTTAAAGTTATAATAATAATTTAATAGTTAGTTTCGGCACATCATTTTTTTCTTTGAGAGACTGACAGTATCATTCCAATCATTGTTATTGAATTTTTTATGTTGCCATGCAAATACGTAAAATTAAGGCAATAATTAAGCAGATGTCCTTAAAGTATCTACCCTCACTGGTGCACGAGGAAGCTTTATACTGCCCACTTTACTCTGCAGTCTACAATGCTACTATCCCAATATTACCATTATCTTGAGATGACCGAATCTACATGTTCGCCGTTATTATCTTTTGTTTATAAAGTTTATATTGGCTTTTCATCACGTATGCGTGACAGGACAGTTGCTGTAGCACAGCACAGTAAATTTGCTTGTTAATAGTTACGGGAACCACTGAGTATTTTTATAAAATACAAAAGAACAGTAACTCCAAATAACATTTTGTAGCTTTAATGAATCAAAGCTACAAAAGCTACAAGATTCATTAAAGCTACAAAATGTTATTTGGAGTTACTGTTCTTTTGCTTGTTAAAGTACTGCAGTGTATATTTGAAAATATGACTGTATAACAACCTTGCCATGTTTACATATTTAACCATGATATTTAATTAACTAAAGCATTCTAAGTATTTTCTCGTGACCTCACAAATCAATTAAATCGTTTCAAGAAATCGTCACGCGTTAACAGCGGTTTATGCTAGTCGCTGTTCCATAAGCAGAAAATGTATTGTCAAGGAATATTTTTTACAGTGGTGCTGGACTTCTCTAGGGGGTGCTAGACACCACTGGGTGGGATGCACACCACCCTGTACCCTTACTGCTGATCTAAAGCAGTTAACTATAGCTTTAAAATCTCTTAACGGCATTATACCTTTGAACGTAGTGACCCGAACAACATCGCACATCCCATCGTCTAAAAAAGCAAAAAACAAACTCCGAACTTGCAACTCCGAACATAGAAGTTGGAAGTTAAAACTAAGACCTCTTTTAAGAATTCGTCAGAGGAGCTAGCTTACTATCAGGTGCAGCACTGGAAAGATGCGAACTTGTATTTGTGTCCATACCCAGAAATTATTTTCTATTTTGGGTATATGGGCCTGGAACGTGATTTTCAGCATTTTCGACTAAGACAGTCTTAAATGATATATTTCGTCCGCATGCAAGATAGACAAATGGGGCCTTTACTGGAGGGGAAGGCAACATAGTATACTGGCGAATTTGGCCCCGCGCCCCTGTTTATGTTACCTGCAGTTAAAATGGTATGATTATCATAATGACTGTCATGTTTCATTAAATATTTATACAACACATGTATACATGCAGCTGCCCTGAAGAAAATCTATAATTTCATAAAAAAAAAATTTTTCAAATTTTCTTTATTGGCGTATTCAATGCAGACGACAGACTGACGACTGCAAAATTTTGTACTAGCTTTGCTATTTTTTTCTATGATTCAATATTTTTTCAAAAGCTATAGGATAAACAATTCACAGAAAAACTAGGCAAAGTTGTCTGAAGTATATACTCATGCATGCACGAGGCAATTTATACGAAAACGTGTTTTGGAAAACGTGCTCGTCTGTATAACCGTCTTTCTTAATTTTATATTTTTAATAAATATATGTTAATAAATGCGCATGAAACGACAATAAATCTTAATAGTGTACATTGCTTATTATACGTATATATTGCAAAACGACATAAAATTTCAAAATCAGTTAAACATGAGTGAAAGGCAGTCTTCAAAATACGGAGGCAATTCTCCCAAATAGTAGTACATGCATCGCATCTTAGACACTGCCGTAGCACTAAATATCGTATTTTACATCATATATTTCATTCTATATTATAATTTTACCTGCTTGTGCTGTTGTAATGATCTCTCCGTTGATCAAAGACAAAATATACATTCCATAAATCGGTGAAAAGTTTGCTTTTATCTGCCTGAGAAGCATTTTAAGTTACAATAGATGGTTTTTTTCTTATACACAGAGTACTCGAGTGTATAGATCTATGTAACTATGGCTCTATTGTAATAAAGGACGAATTTAATCATTTATATTTACTTATTATATTTACTTTGTTTTAGTTGAAATGTGCTTAATTAATTGATGACTATTGTCAACTAGCCAATCAAACACGAACGAACTTTATTTAATTTAGCGTCTATTTAATCAGCCAATCACATTGAACTATAGCTCCGCGCTGTTTGGCAGAGCCTCGTCTGCTGATCGATGTGGTCGTTAATCGTGACAGTATAAATTAACTGAAAAATCAACACATGTTTGAAATTTCCACTGCCCGGCGTTTATGTTTATCTGCGTGTGCATGCCTTATAAGCATGATAATTATAAAAAATGGTTAATTTAAAAAATATTTAAAAATTTACTAAAAAAATTTGAGGAGCTAATAGCCAAGAACAAATATCGATTAAATTTTGATTCGATTTGGAGGAAATTGGTGAGAAATTAACCAAACTTTGCCTTGGTTTCCATCGCGGGCTTTTTGGTCGGGCGAAGGTATGTTGCCTCTAATGTACGCACAATACTATAATACTACAATTAAACAATGTGATGTGAATAAGTGGACTACCAAAAGCTCACAGCAGCCGAATATTCCACAGGTTAAGACTGCCAGTGGTCAAGGATCTATTTATTACTGTACAGTCACCTTATGGAACTCATTGGAAACTTCTTGGAAACTAAGTGACTTAACCAAAAATTGAAAACTCAATTACTAAACAAGTTTATATTATTATAGGACTATATAGTATCTCGTTTTGTATCAAATTAGTTTAGTTATCTATTGTAAATGATCACTGGAAAGCCTCATTGGGGCGTGTTCATTAAATTATTATGTTGTAATGTATTGCATAGTTCATATTTTCCTCCCAGGGGCCAGATGTTCAAAGCTAGAGTAGCGCTAATCTAAAGGTTAGAATTTAACCAGCCGTTTCGATTTGTGCATTTCCAGAATGTTTCAAAACTTTTGAAAATAAAACATAAAACTTTTTTTCGTCCAGAGATGATTCCTGGGAAAATATTTCCAAGTTTATAACCAAACTGTTGGAGAGGTTGCTTTGGGCCTTTGAAGCTTCTCGTTAACCAAGGAATAAGCCAACCGGATTACGAGCAACCGTCCCCAGGAGGCTATCCCTGCCTCTTAATGACTAAGTACGCATGTGATTGGTTAATTGGATAGATTAAACACATCTGATTGGCTAATGGTCCCGTGGTGGCAGCGGTAATGGAAGTCAAATCTAAATCTTGCCAATGTCGTATAAATTTGAGTACAGTTCCGTCAATCTAGTTCCTGCCTTTCGCTTTCACGATGCTGGGGAGAGTTAGAAAGCGAGAAGGTCTAGTATAATTCGCAAATCTGCCCTTCTAGGAACCATTTTTGCCCTTCGACCTGTAGGTTCTACATGCATTGGGATGAATAATGAAGATATTTCCATATGGTAGTATGAATTTGGGATTAAAACCAAGTTGACCGCCTATTTCCCTCCCCCCCCCTCCTCTCCCGTTTTGCTACCTTTCCCCCTTCACCGTGTCCTTCTATTGTTCCGGCGGCCCCAAGGTGTATTTTAAGTAGATGTAAATATCGTTCCATTTGTAGCAATAACAAACAGACTGTTGTCGCCAACGGTTACATGTTTAACTTGCAGACCTTCGACCTGTTTCCATGTTGAACCAGTCGGGTGAAGGGCACATATACCAAATCTGTAATAGAGCACATTTTCCGAAGTTACAGCATACACCCTGCCTTGGTAGCCAGCCTTGAGTTGCACGAAACTGCCATCAACACCAAGCCAACTTGTTCCCTGAGGGTAGCTGAATGTCACTCCAGTGCGAAAAGCGATTGAATTGTCTGGTTTTATCGCCCAACAGCCATAATCTCCGCATGAAACGTATTTAAAATTTCCTGGAAGCGAATGCCAGTTGTCACCATACGGTAATTGGTCCGTGATGCCAGTCCGACAAAATATAACGTTGAATCTGCAAAAAGATTAATTTCATGAAATACAGCGTCCGCCGCGCATAAATAGGGAGTTTACGATGTATGACGCGGTCAGCTCAACGATGTCGAGTCAAATTATGCTTGAAATAAGCCACAGGAATTTATCTATACTTAATTATATTGAATTTATCTTTAATTGTCTAAAGCATGTTTTAATAATCTTACAAATGTTTATATTGGCCTAAACTACTCCGATGTTTAGCTGATGTTGCCATTCTGTCAACGTTATAAAACAACTCCCATGTCGCAACGAGCTTTGATATCGCTAGGAAGCCGTGAAAATTACTCGTTTGACGGTGTCCCAAGAATAGCAACGCTGTTGACAAAATATTTGAATCTACAAATTATTCATCCCTTTTGTCTCGCATGACGTGTTTCTTTGTCTTGCAAGCGCGTCGTCGAGCTGGCCGCGTCGTGAATCGTAAACTCTCTAATGAAGCCAATGGCGACCATATTGGGACCACCACAAACCTGCAGTGGTGTGTTGATATGTTAGAAGAACTTTTTATAGTTTCTGGTCATAGGTAGGAATAAAACGATATTGCAAGAGAAACTTTTGCTTTTGAAATATGCCAGTGAATAACTAATGATTGACATTAATATGGGCATCTCAAATCTCATTATCTCGTTAAGAGAACTCATTAGAATAGGTGTTGTGGGAATTTTTCAAGTTACGTAGAGGAAGGTATTTGCTTGATGGTATAACTAATTTAAAACACGTAACGCTCTGATTTGTAAGGAATGTGACAGATTTAAAAATCTCTCCCTGGGAAAATAACACTAATTCTTATGTAATAGTCCTGTATTCAAATAAACAAACTCTAAACACGTGTTCGTAACCAAATAGATGTAGGAAATAAATACCTATTCACTCCATAAACAACTCCCGAGCTACCAGCGTCAATCTGCTTCAATGAACCCACCAGTTGTCTCCATCGTGTTCCATACGGTGTGTCTGGTGCCACACCAAGTCTGAAGTAAATTTGACGATGTTTGTTGACTCCAAAAACGCCCGATTTTCCAACCGTAACATGAGTTAATCCGCCGCCCACTTTTATCCAAGCGCCATTTTGTAATGCAAAAATGTGTTCATTGTCGATTCTCGTGGCCCATGTTTGCACACCGTCACTGTCAATTTGGGTGATTTTGCGCTGGTCTCGACGACAACCTTCCATTTATGGGAGAATTGTCGCGTTACGTTATCTGTTTGGACACAAAATCATGAAGATAAACTAAAACAGAGACCGACTTTATTTCTATTGGATAGCTGTATTATTTCTAAACTGTTCTCGTTAAGGACTGCCCTTATTGGTTCATTGTTACTCAAGAGATGAAAGCTGAACTGACCTCGTGTATGTTTATTTGAACAATATATAAACTTTACATTAATTTGTTCCAAAAGCATAATATGATAATCGAGGGAACTTATGTGCGGCGAGTCTTATCAATGATTATTCAGATAGAGTTTCGACAGGTAATATCTCTCGGTAAGAGATTTGACCTCGTGGGGTCAGAGTGGAGAGGGTTATCAATTTATAAAGTATTTAAGCACCATTTAAAACACGAACAGGAGTGCTTTATCAGATATATAACACGAGGCGATAGTCGAGTGTTTTATATCTGATAAATGACGGACTGCGAGGGTTATAATGGCTTTAAAACAATTGGGGAAATAATTTCAAAAATCGATTTTGTCTCGGCCGAGAAAATCAAAGCTAAAATTTATCTAAATTAACATAATTTTTTATCACATATAGAACCACCGACACGGTAGTCATTCCCTTTGTATTTTCCTCATGAATTATTAACTTTATCTATACTAGATACTGAAATATTTAACTTTATCTATACTAGATAACTCGTCAGTTGTAAACTGTTCTTCCTAGAGGTTCAGCAAGGGTAAAGATTGGTCCCGTGTTGCTAATAAGTTGGCCAGAGAGATGTATAAGTCTGTAACCACAGTGGCAGGAAGCCGTGAACTATTATTAATGGATGTATACGTGATTATATTATAAATGATTTTTCAGATTATCTTGACTATAATGAAGGAAATTGAAGTTTCTTACTTCTTGGACATGACATACAATTCGTTGACATGAAGTTTTCCGGGCAAGCACATGTACAAACTTTACTTCGACATAGTCCTCCATTTAAACACGACACATTGCAGCATGACGATTTTTTAGGAAAGAAAAAAGTTAGCCATGCCTTTCGGACCCATTGAATTGCTTTAATTGTCGGCTGATAACAACCTACCAGCCTAGTCCCAGGCTCTCTCTCTATTCGCTCCTTTGACATATTTAATTAAGTCTTAAAAGTTTTATGCCTGGGTGTGCTGTGCGGAACGCTTCAGCGAGAGAGCCTAGCAGATTTCGGTAAAATGGTCCCTGATTTCGAAAAAGTGGTCCCTGGCCTGGTTACCAAGCATATACCACATTTGTAAATAGAAAATGTTATGGAAATTTCCTTTGCGTTTATAATTAAGTTATTAGTTTTGCTCTAATGCTGTCGGAACAATGAAATAGGCTACGTTTCGCTACCATACGGTCAGAATGGAATAACGGGCTAAATATGACTCGTGTTTTCTAAAATATAAAGCCATATTAAATGCTATCTAGCAGGTTGAAAATTATGCTGTGTCTCGGACTAAAAATGTTTTGACAACACAGTCATGTCAGGCAAATATATCCAATCTAGCTCCTCAGCTACTTAAACCTGTCAAGTAGAAAGCGTAGTTGTGTATACCAGTATGGTCTAGTGTTGATCACAACTTGGAAGTATATAAATAACATCAACGATTATACGACCATTACTCAGACTCAGTATCGTAAATTTGTATATAAATTTTTTTAATTGAGCACATTTTTAATACAGTTTGAATTTGGTTATGTAGACATCGAATATGATCAACGAACATTGTCGTATTTACAAGGTTATTTGTATATATAAATTTTCCGCCATATTAAAAATACTGAAATCTGCTAGGCGTTCTGAAGCACCTTTAGCGGTGACGTCACACTTAGGTCCTAGTCTCGTACTACATCCACGTTTTTTCTCGCGCTTGCTTCAGAACGACTGGGAATAGGCTGACAACCTACCTATACGTACTTTACCTACAACATGCATACCAACTTACCTACCCCATACGTACCCCCAACCAATACCTACCCCCTTTCTACCTACGTATATCCAACTATACCTACCTATTAACCTATCTAACCACTGAACTACCACATTCTCCTTGCCTACTGTATCTACCCACTTATCAACCACCTATCTACGTATCAACAACCTACCTACAAACTGCGAACCCATCTACCACCTGTTGTGATCAAGAGACATGACCAAGAAATATGAAAGGTGTTTAATAAAGCAAAACTAACAAGCTACAGCAATACTAAATTGTGTCATCGCTGAACAAAACAACATGCTTCTTTATAGTCTCAGGCAGTCAGGCTACCAGGCGTATTGCCAGGCATGCAGGCAATTACAAAATTACAATAATATGAAATTAACATAATCATTACAACCCCCTTTTTAAGTAAATGTTTTGAAAATAGAAAAAGTCAGGTTTAATAGTAAGTTCTAGTCAATATAGAAATAATTGTTTATACTATGACTCAGTTCAAAACTATGATCTCACAAAGTCTCGCAGATGAGTAGGTGGCTTTACAACTCTACCAGAACGAGTTTGTATACACTGTTCATTATTGTTTCGAACACAAGGTTGTCTTGACTGCGGCCCAGAACGATCATAAGTAGATCTAGGTGGATGACTGAGAGTAAAGGTTGGTTGATTTGGTTGTGGTAGTTGTACCGCTAAAGGGTTGGGTGGTATCTCCATTTCATCATCAACAGCATCACGCAGATCGAATGTTTCCGGCGTGCTAAGAAGATCTCTTCTATTTCTTCGAATGATTGTTCCTTTCTCTGTTTTAACAGCATAAGATCTTGGCTGCTCAACTCTTTCCATTACTTTTCCCTTCACATGCCATGATTTACCATCCCTAATTCGTACTGTTTGTCCTTCTTTAAGAGGTCGCAAATTCTTTGCATGTTGATCGTGATACTCTTTAACCTTTTGTGATCCAAGCAAAGTAGGTGACGTTTTCTCAGTTTTTATTGAAGGAAGGGGCGTTCGAAGATGGCGATTCATTAACTTAAACGCTGGGGACGGGGAATTGTCAGTTCCAGGAGTTGAACGTAATGCAAGTAGTGCAAGGCAAGGGTCATCGCCACTTTTAAGAGCCTTTTTTATGGTCTTTTTTACAGTTTGAATAGCTCTTTCTACGAATCCATTACTCTTTGGGTATCTGGGGCTTGACGTATCATGTTGGAAACCCCACTCTTTCGCAAATGTTTTATATTGATGCGAAGAATATTGAGGACCATTGTCACTAACTACAGTCTTAGGTATACCAAATCGAGCAAATATACTTTTGGTATGTTGCACAACAGTCGAGGCTAGGGTATTTGGAAGAGCACTTACTTCAAAATATTTCGATGTATAGTCAACAACAATTAGGTAATCTTTATTCTTTAACTGAAACAGATCAGTTCCCACTTTCTCCCAAGGAGTTGATGGAACTTCATGGGGAATCAGTTTTTCAGACGGCTGACAATTTCTGTTTTCCACACAAGCATCACACTTAGAAACAATATCAACAATTTCACTAATCATACCTGGCCAATAAAGTGTTGATCTGGCACGAGCTTTACACTTTTCTATTCCAAGATGACCATGATGGATCTTTTGTCGCATTTCATCTCGAAGACTTGATGGTACAATGATTCTGTCACATTTAAGCAAGACGTTTTCATATAGCGTGATTTCGTCTCGAAAACTGTAATATGGCCTTACAGCAGGATCAACTTGTCTCGCCTTGTCTGGCCATCCATTTAGTACACAATTCTTTAATTTCTGTAAATCAGTATCCTTTGAGGTCTCCGTAGCAAACTCGGACAATTTCGACTTGGAAATTATCATTCTGATCATTAATCATGTGTACAAAACAATTTAGTTCAGATTCAGGTATTTCTGGATTTGAAACATCTAAGAATGCACGACTGAGTGTATCTGCTACAGGAATGTCCTTTCCAGGTACAAACTTGAAAGTAAACATATAAGGCTGGAGCCTTAGCAGGAATCTTTGAATTCTTGCTGGCGCCTTAATCAGCGGCTTCGAAAATATTGCTTTCAAGGGCTGGTGATCATTTTCAACAACAAAGTTTTGTCCATATAGATATTCCTTAAATTTCTCACAAGCAAATACAACACTGAGAGTCTCCTTTTCAATCTGAGCGTAGTTTTGCTCAGACTGAGTCAATGAACGAGAGGCAAAAGCAACAGGTTTCCACTTACCCTCCTCTCGTTGCTCAAGAACAGCTCCAAGACCAAACTTTGACGAATCCGATGTGACTTTAATTGGATCTTTTGGATTGAAATGCTTCAAGACTGGAGCTGACGTTACCATTTCTTTTAACATTTTCAATGCATTTTCTTGCTCGGCTTCAAAATGCCATGGAGTGTCCTTTTCTAGCAAACAACGCAACGGTGCAGTAACACTGGCCAAATCTGGTATGAACTTAGCCAAATAGTTACACATCCCAAGAAATCTCTGTAGTTCAGTTTTATTCTGAGGAACAGGCATGTCAATGATTGCGGAAATCTTCCTTGGGTCAGCATCGACACCATCACCAGACAGTACATGTCCGAGAAATGTGATTTGAGTAACACAAAATTGACATTTTTTCCGGTTCAGCTTGAGACCAGAGTCTTTAATTCTAGACAACACCTCGTGTAGACGTTGATCGTGGACTTCTTTTGTGTCACCCCAAACTATGATATCATCTTGAGCGTTTGCGGCTCCTTCGATACCTTCAATAATTTCTGCGATATCCAACTGAAAAATTTCGGATGCATTTGAGACACCAAAAGGTAATCTATTAAACTTATAACGTCCAAACGGGCTGTTGAAGCACAACAACTTCGAGCTTTCCTCATCAAGCTTGGTTTGCCAATATCCTGAAGAAGCGTCCAGTTTTGAAAAATACCGAGCACCAGTCATCTTTGAGATAATATCCTCTGCGGTAGGTAGTTGTAGATGAGATCTTTTGATGGCTTGGTTCAGATCCTTCGGATCAAGGCAAATACGAATACTTCCATCTGGCTTTTCAACAACTACTAGACTTGAAACCCAATCTGTCGGCTCAGTGACTTTGGATATAACCCCGAGTTTCTCCATTCTGTCGAGTTCTTCTTTAAGTTTAGGTTGGATGGTTATAGGAACACGTCGTGGAGGGTGAATAACTGGCGGAACACTAGGGTCAATAACTATCTTGTGAACTTTGGGCAGAGTACCAAGTTCTCCAAAGCAACATTCAAATTCAGAGATAAAGCTGGGCAATTGTTCTTCCTTTGGTTTTACTACCATCACACGTTTAACTAAGTTTAAGTTCTCACATGTGGAAAGACCCAATATTGGTGGTGAACTCGTTTCTGCGACAATAAACAGAACAGGTACATCACGAGTCTTTTTATGGGCAACTCGAACAATACACTTTCCAACAACAGGAATGTTAGTTCCATTATATGCAGTTAACTTCACTTTCGTATTCTTTAACTATGGCTTTCGTATCAACCTATTATACTGAGATTTTGGTAAGACATTAACTTGGGCACCAGTATCTAACTTGTATCTGACATTACTACCATTAGTGTCCATGTCAACTGTCCACTCAGACTCAATCTCAGACTCGGAACCAACAGTAAAAATTGTATATTCATTTGACTCATTTGTCTTAGTGGTTGAGTTCCTTTCTTCTGCACTTATAACAGGGTTAGTCTGTGTCTCAGTAGTGTCTACATTAACACTTCCTACAAAAAATGTGTCATCGGGTGCATCATCAGAATCACTGGAGTCACAATTAACGTTTTTGACTGACTTGTTTTTTTCTGGACAGCACCTTGCAAAATGATTAAACTTAGAGCATTTCATGCATTTTTTTCCATAGGCAATACAGTTTCCCCGTTTATGAGAATATGAGCAAAACTTACAATTTTTAATTAGGGACTTATCGTAACCAACTGATTCTTTGCCAGAGTTTTTCTTTTCATCTCTTGCTAACTTCTTTCTATGAACAGCGTCAACTGAATTCTTGCCATCGACTTCTTTCTGGAGCTCTTTTACATGTCTCTTCGTCTCCTCAGCAGCATGCCCAATTTGTATAGTTTTCAGCAGTGTTAATTCTGGCTCTCTAAGAAGACGTTCACGAAGACGGTTGTCATTAATTCCACATATTATGATGTCACGAATGAGGCTTTCACGAAGTGCTTCAAACTCACACTCAGCACTACGCTTTTTAGCTCAGTAACGAACTCATCAAAAGATTGACCATCTCTCTGCTTACATGTAAAGAATTTGTGGCGCATAAATGTAATATTCTTTCTTGGACTACGGTAATCTTGAAACATTTGTACAACGACTTTGAATTTCATTTCCTCTCCTTCGACGAACTGAAACGTATTATAAATTTCTCTACCTTGCTTTCCGACGCACGTGAGAAGTATTGATGTCTTTATTTTGTCAGATTTTCCATCCTTCTCAGTAGCAGTAAGATAGAGTTCTAGTTCTTGGCGCCACTTCTGCCAATTTTCAGTAAGGTTGCCTTCGAACCTTAAACAAGATGGCGGCTCAAATGTGTCCATTTCGCTTCACCTTTCAGGCCTTTAGAGCTTATATATAACCAAATGCGGAACTTAACGACAACTTTATTGTTTAAATTACACCTGACACCATGTGATCAAGAGACATGACCAAGAAATATAAAATGTGTTTAATAAAGCAAAACTAACAGGCTACAGCAATACTAAATTGTGTCATAGCTGAACAAAACAACATGCTTCTTTATAGTCTCAGGCAGTCAGGCTACCAGGCGTATTGCCAGGCATGCAGGCAATTACAAAATTACAATAGTATAAAATTAACATAATCATTACAATTATAACAAATATACATCCAAAACTTTCACACCTGTTAGTTCTTCCAAAAAAAGGTGGTTCAACGGAATCGGAAACAGTAGGACGACGTAAAATGCAAAAAACATGGTTTTTCCCTATCTCGCTCTATGATTTTTGACCGGTTGAGCCGCCATCTTAGATTTTCAAATTTGGCGCGCCTCTTCAGCCGAGTCAGCAATCTAGGTCTCCTATATCTATGGTGGTCATCGTCACTGATCTCAAAAATATGGCGTACTCTCATGGATAGCGGACACTGATTGGTCCAATTTAAAGTTTGCATTATAACGATTGTCGTCACTGTCGACTGTATGACGACAGCGAAATAGCAAACATTTCTTGATTTGATGATTGATAAATTTCTTGCAAATATATTTCTTGCAAATATATGTTTTGCTCGCATTTTTGCAAGATTTTGTAAATTTCAAGAAAGGGCGAAAGAATCGGCTAAAAGAAGGGAGCCTACGTCAAAGAAGGTAAGTTTGTTTTAAATATTGATTTTATAATTACTTTAAAACCCAACGGCCGCTTTGGCCCTTTGGCCCTTTGGCTTTGCGTATATGAAACAACTAAACAAGACAGCTTATAATTTCAGTGTATTAATAATATTGATTCCTTTTTTATTAGGCCTATATTGAATTTTTTAAATAAATAAAAAAGAAAGCAAATTAAATTATTTGCATGCGAGAATTTGAAATAATTTTATTGCAAACTCAAAGTTTATCGATAAAACCATTTTAATAATTAAAGGCAGTTTTAAATAGTTTTATAAAGAACATTTTAACGTTTTGCGAAGCTTTTGTGGTTGAATTTTACCTTAAATTGAAGCTTATATTACGTATAATAACATACCTAACATATATATGTTGGGAAATTGATAATTTTATAATTAAAAGTGATATTTTTAGGCGATCTTTCATTTGTAAGAACATTCTTAAAAAATGATCGTGTTACCATGACAACAACTTTGGAATGGTTTTGTCAGCAAGGCGAGGGTTTCTGCATGCATGTATTTTCTAGTCTAATATATACGAGAGTTTGTATATCAGATAAAGATCGGATGCGAATGTTTTATAATCGTACTTATAAAACGACCCATCTTAAGCCTTGTCTAAGCCCAGAAAATCAAAGCTGAAGTTTATGTATATCAGGACAAATTTTTATCTGATTTACAAACATTGATTAAACATGGGTGTTTGTATTCCGAGTAATGAGTAATGAGTAATGAGTAATGAGTAATGAATTTTCGTACTTGCTTTGGAAAAATAAACCATGAAAATATTGACAGTGATTCTACACACTCCTTGCCGTGAATAATTATAATGCTGTGACGATGTCATGGTATGATCAAATATGGCCATAATTTCGCTTATGGTATACTCGTTTTTAGCATGATGTCACATATATACTGTATTAACCAATTCAGCCTTCAAAACGATCGTCCCCAAGTTGAAAAATTACATGTTCGCAATAGTATACTGTAGAATACAAGTGCTGTGGTATAAAGGTTGTTTTATGATAAATTTCGGCCGACATATTTGTTTTGCTATCTGCGATTCTGCGGTCATGCAGCCAGTATAAAATCCGCAATTGACGCCCAAACGTTGTCGAAAACTAAGTTTTCAGTTTATAAAACCAAGATATTACTCTTTAAATAAAAAAAAAAACACGAAATTTCTGCTCACTCTGGATTTTTGTCGACCGCTATATTAGTGTTTACTTGTATTCTACTATTGCGAACATGTTATTCAACTTAGAGACAAACGCTTTGAAGGCTAAACAGTCTAAACTGGTTAATATGTGACATGCTAAAAACGAGTATGCTATAAGCGAAATTATGCAGGCCATATTTGATCATACCAGTTTAAACTGCTGACACTATCACAGCATTATAATTATTCACGGCTAGAAGTGAGTGGAATCACTGTCAATGTTTTCATGGTTTATCTTTCCAAAGCAAGAACGAAAATTCATTACTCATTACTCATTACTCGGTATTAATATTAATAGATTCTAATGATCAGTTTAACGCAATTCAGTACTCTTCGCTTTGTTCAATATTGCTAAATAAATGGCTGTGGTTAAAACGTATGCATTCCAAACTTGTTTTCGTGGTTACAGGTCGGACTATTTTCGTTTTTTTTATTTATTAAATAAAAATTAATCCTTTTTTTTCATAAAACACAAACACTTGCATGCTCAGGATTCACCAATTATGTTATAATGAAATCTTACTGTTTTTTTTTTTTAATTTCTAACGTTCGGTATCGTTGACTAGTTTTTGTCAGTGGAATTAGATAATTTAGTTATACGTTATGATTTCGTTCTTTAAATGTCCTTGGCCTTGTATACAAGTCCCTTGGTCATTCATTACCTAGGGTCGGTACGACACCGAGGTCATAAATTCGGCTCCTATATTTTTTCCATTTTGTGTCGAGCCGCGCGCGTAGTGGAAGGGCCTGCGAAGGAGACGACAACTTGCGGGAAATAAGTGTACTTCCGGAAAATTTCAAGCATCGGCCAAAGCGAAACGGAACCCGAAGCTGTCCTTGCACAAAATCCGTCAAAATTGTTGATTTAAAACCAGATGATGTGATAATGTTGACATGTTTCTCGAGTATATGTTGATATAATGTACAATACTTCGTATGCATAGCATGGGAATTCCGCGGCCAACTTTTACTTGTTTGATACTGCTAAGCATTTTATGGATGGTTCTTAGTACTGTAACTGGTAGACAACAATTTTGCCAACTGTCCACTCATTACATTCTTCGACTGTGGTACAACTATTACTAATGATGGATCAGTTATATGCACCTAATTATTTATATTTTCGGTACTTTGATATATTTTAAAAATATCTGAAGTGACTGTCGTTCTGCTATGTGCAATCAACAAATAGACTGATAATATTGTCTGTTAGTGTTACTCAATATAAGATGAAGTAGTGAAGTAGCTATGTATATCATCCACTCGTCCACAAAATATCCCGAATAATGAATAAATACAGTTAAATAATTGCGTCAGTAAATTATCTAAATTGTTCCTGTATTTAACTATTATCAATAAAATGTTAACACGGAGCTTTGATTGACTGATTAACCATTAATTTATACTAGTGAACTATTAAACTATCGTGATTTACACAATTTTTGCATATTTACCAGACGATGCCCTATCCACCGACCCGAGGTTAACGCCGAAGCGGGCGTCTCAATTGTTCCTAAAGTGGGTATAATCCTTATTCCTATACAGTTGCAATTGTTTGTGTCCTGGCTTCTATGTTTTTCCTAATTATGCTTGCATTTTGTTTAGTATACTTAATTATAAACTTGGCATTGTTCATACAACAACAGATGGCCTTAACGGTGTTTCTGTTAAAATTTACGAAGTTCGTGATTTATTAACATAAGAAAATTGGGTCCACTGTATCTACTGTATGACACTCGTGAATGTTCTCAATGAAAATATTGATCCCATAGCTAGGCAACAGGATAACCTCACTGTTTTTTTAAACAACAAATTAAAGTATAATTATAAATATTACATATAGGCAACAGCATGTTGTCCTGAAATTTAATCCTAGTTTTCAAACTTAGCCAAGATATCCGTATTTCGTGCTGTGATTCGATCTAGAATATTGGCGTCTTGATCCATGTTCGTTTACTTAATGCCGTTCTCAAGATTTGTAACGAATTGCGTCGTTCCTCTACGCTTTGGATGTGTTTGAATCAATATACTGTACTGTGCAAATATGTTTCAAAGCTTTTCGTCTCATATCGTGTTAATTGCCAAAAACTGCTAAAACATACAGTTTTCAGTAATACGATATGACAATTTCTTGTCAGCCATCTTTCCCACGAAATAACCACGCAAGTCCACGTGACTATTGGCAATTCGTTTCTCTACCTTGCAGGCGGACTATCGGCCTCGCCTGGCAAGTCTACGGTTTGCAGGCGGCTCCAAGGCCACGGGGAGCAAGGAATAAAAACAAGGTCTGCGAAATTGCTGCATGTGTGTATTTTTAGTTATAATAGGTTATAGTCACTATGTGAGTTTTGACTGGCCAACAGCTAAGACCTAAATACGGAATTCGTGCCACCTACAGATAAAAGAGTTATCTGCCAACCAAGAACAATGTTATCTGTAGGTTGGGCCAGATGTATGTGATTTTATAGTTACAATGTTGGACATAACCCTTGAGACGATTCTAGGGGAATCCAACCAATATTACAAAGTTATTGAACATTGACAAAACAAACCTCCCCCTCCCCCACAATTCAATGTTGTAAGGGGGAAGCGGAGGCTAAGCAGGGCAACATGATTCAACATGGAGTTTGTCATAAAAATATGCAAATTTTTATAGGGGGGAAAAATAGTCTTAAATTAACCAGTATGTCCAAGATTGTAGCAAGTGACGGTTCTACATACACGAATGAAAACAAAAAAACTACTATGAAAGAACGACGTTTTTGTCATGGCCAGGAATCATGGACATGATATATTTATTCTACTGTACTTTCTTCATAATTTGCATATCACGTTGAAATATGGCTTCTGCAGTAAACAGTAAATTATATTACGCAATGCTGTAAATCCCAAAATCGGAGAACATGGTAGGTCGTTTGCAACTTGCCTCAGTCGCTGGCTATAAATCAAAGTCTGTCGAATGATTTAGCGTAATCTTTGCTTGATATTAGTTAGAGACCATTCTGCATTTTCAGTATTTGTACAGAGGTTATTTTGTACGGAATAGGCAGTATAACTTACACCGGGCAAACACTACACGATGTATTTCAACAAACCGTGTTCTGCAACCAGCAATCGAGGCAAATGCAAACGACTACCAATATTCTCTGATTTGGCGATTTAAAGCATCGCGTAATATAATTTACTGTTTACTATCGAAGCCATATTTCAACGGGTTATGTATGAATGGTATGCAAAGTTAGTAAGGAAGTAGAATAATCAAGTCCGTGATTTCTGGCCATGGAATATTTTCTGTGCAAACATCAGATTTTTCGACATTCTATCTCTGCAGGTAAACGAGTTTTCTTAATATTTACCCCGGCCATAAATTATGTTTTGACCTGCATGGGTTTAGTTGTGTTTATATGTGTTTGTCTCTCCCCACGATAACTAAAAAATATCAAACCTACGAATTAATACGAAAATTTGTGGGGCTGCTAGAAATATTCTAGAGACTAAATTGTAATTCAATTTGGTGAAAACTTGAATAATTATCAAACCGGTTTGTCTTGCTTTCTTGCGCAGAGTAAACTGAATGCGTACTTAGACCATGTATATAATTTATGCATGATACGTGGCATAATTTGCGGAAGTATGCAGTGTGTACAGTTTTGACAACTAAACGTCGTTTTGTATGGCAAATAAAGCATTATATTTTTAGATATATAATCAGTAAAGTAATTATAATCACATGCTAATAAACTAGTGATCGAAATGGTATTAAAAGAGTATTTACTGTTGCTTCTTGGCCACTGTGTGGGAATTATCATTGTAAGCAACTGAATTTTGAAGGAGCGAACGTCTCTTGCTCAACACACAACTTACAGAAATTAAATCGCAAAAAGATATATTGGATACTTACCAACGTTATAGTGATGTTAAATTAACCCACTTAGTCCAAAAGGTCCAAGATTTCGGTATCAAATATATAGACAGATTCCTGAACACTATAGTTAAATTCACAAAAGATAATAATTAAATTTATGCAAGAATTTTAATAATAATTTCCCTAAACAATTGCTAACAGCGGGTAGCAATGCATAGCAAGCACACATTGCCTACGTAAACACAAAATTTGTTTCCTTTAGCAAATATAGTTATATATAATATAAAATTTCATGAATATAAAGTTGTGTATTTATGAACAAGCTATCGTTGGTAGGAGTGCAACTAGCTGAAAAATATACGGAGAATTTCGACGTTTCGAGCTCATAAAGGCGGTTTTCCACTAGGCGAAATTTTTCGACCGAATCGAAATTTCTCTTTGTTTCAAAGCTCTCGAGCAGAACTAATTGTAAAAAGACAAAGAGAAATTTCGTTTCGGTCGAAAAATTCGGCCTCGTGGAATCAGGCCTTAAGGCCCTTCGTCTGGACAGGAGTTACTTTGGCTGTACACAAAGATATATGAAGTAGAATCGTATACAACGAGCACAAAATTAACGTTATAATGACGATAAATTTGAACAATATTGATCGCCATGATTGGTTATATGAATATTAAACCATGATCTGACATGCACTGACCAATTTAGATATACGTAATGCCAACACAACTAGCCAAGTTTATGCATTGCCAAGAATCTTCAGTAATAATGATTCGCTAAAAGAATTCCTAACAGCGAGTAGGATGCATAAATTTGCAAATATATATAGTTATAGATAATATAACATTTCGTGAATATATAGATGTATATAAAAGTTTATAATATAGCATTTGTAAATTCTGAACGCTGATTGGCTAAGAGCCGTGTTGATATAACTCGATGTCAACACGGGAAATTTTCCGCCGCTTGTAAACACGGAAATTTTTCTTATCCTTCGGGCTTTTGACGTTGCTATATTATAAAAAAAATATAAAACATTTTTTCCGTATTGATATATAGTTATATCAACACTCGTGGAAGTTGGGAAAACTCGAAATTGTATGAAAACACTCCGCCCTTCGGCCGTCGTGTTTCCATACAATTTCTCGTTTTTCCAATTCCACTCGTGTTGATATAACTGTATATCAACACGGAAAATGTTTTATATTTGTTAAATGTTAAATGTCTCCTTTGCAGCAAGGTCCATTACGCGTAGAACGTGCACGTTCTACGGATGTAATTCGTTCATATCTTTGGTTCAGTGCACGCTATGTAGATGAAAATACTACCATTCGAT